GCCAGGGGAATCTGGAGCATTTGTCACTAATAATGGGGCCCAGGTAAGAGTTACTTTCTGGGACATGGTATCAGGGTGCTTGACACTGGAAGGACTAGGTGCCCAAGTTCCCCTTTCCAGGTGGATGTGGAGGGGCTCTTTGTAGGACAGTGGCTGGCATATTTAGTTTTTTTCCTAGGAGAGATACTTGGAAAGTAGGAAAGCCTTCCCCCCAACACACACACACACACACACACACACACAAGGAAGTGAAGTAGGTAAGTAGTAGTATCCCTGTTTTACATATGGGGAAATGGAGCCACAGGAATGAAGTGATTTTTCTCAAGGTCACATAGGGAGTTGGTAAAGAAGTCCTGGTTGTTAGTCCCATGGGCCTTTCTGTAAAGATGACTGACAGAGCAAGAATCTCCCTTCCACTTTAAAAACATCCTGAATGTGGAAAAATCCGTTGATTTTTTGTATGGCTCTCAAGCTGAGGTCAGAATTAGTGCTGCTGTATGGCTTTGGGTCAATAACGCCATTGGTAGTCTCTTCTCTAATTCTGAGTTAATGTGCACTTCCCAACTGCTAAATCTTCCCCCATCAGAGGCAATTGTGGTAGAAACCTGTAGGACCACTTATGTAAGAGCCAGTAGCTGCTTTTGCTCAGCTTACATAGAGAATGATAAGCTTCTCCCTTTCTCCGCTATGAGAAATCCCCTCACTTCAAACCCTCGATCACTTTGAATCAATAAATCAAATATTCAGTGTGACTTACCCAGTAAGCAAGTCCATGGAGTTTGATGGGGTGTAACTCAAAGTTGCTTCAACAAGACTCTGCAGTTCTCAAATCTGTCTATTCCGATAGTCTGGCTCTATACCCCTTGCCAGGTAACTAAACTTCAAACATGCCTTTAGAACACATATTGCAGTCTATTGGCAGGCTATGAAGCCAACAAGGATATGGGCTATTACTTAATTAAAACACACATTTTGTGTTGGTATTAATTCTGATTTCCCAACCAACAATTAAGCAAAATCAGCTGCTGCCTACCCAATTAACCTGCTTGTATGAGCACAGTAAAGCCATAGACCATAGTAAGAGTTGAGTAATAGATCAGGAGGATTATTGGCATCTGTTGCAGCTGCTTGCCTATTAGTCCTATTCTTTATACCAGCTGGGAACTGGTTCCTTTCAGTATGGAGCAGCCTGTACTGTGGTTATTGGATTCCCCCCTTTTGCCACGCTTCTTAAAAATGTTTATAAATAGGCATAGTACCAAAGCTATAAACAGCTGGGAGTGTTGCTAGATAAAATTCCAAAGAGAAAAGGGGAAGAGACAGAGCTACATTACAAAGTCTGGCCAAAAAAGTTAACCAGAAGTTTGATTACACAGTTGTAGAGGAACAGAGGATTTACCCTCCAGATCCAACTTTCTCCCTATAGAGTGGAAACCTATCCCAGAGGATCTGTTTGACTAGAAACATGAGGGAGTAGTCAAACTTCACAGTGTGGGAGATCTGATGACAGAATAATTTTAGAATCCAGATTATTAGGAAATGCAAAGGCCACCAGAAGAATATGCCTTCTAAAGGGTGGTTTACTCACTACTGTCATTTCACCCTCTGTTGGGAAGTAACAACACTCACTTGCTCAAAGGCACAGTCCTGCAGATTTTTACTGGTGCTAGTTAACTGATGTCAGGGGATTATCTAGTGTGAACAAGGGTTTGCAAGATCAAGCCTCAACAATTTCAAGCAACAATGAGGCCCCTTATCTGGATATGTATTATTCTCTTCTCATCAAAGCAAAACAGGCATGTGTATGTGTGTGCGCGCGCACATGCATGCTAGCTGCTTCCAGCTGGTTGAAAAGCCTATGCTTTGGCAATGCGTTCCTACCGCACAGGTGATTCATGAGCAACAATTCCTCATGCAACTGGCTGATTATGACCTTCACAGTTTCAGGGCCCTATCCCTTAAGTGCCTGCAAGAGCATAGAAGAAACAGGTTACCACTAGTGCTGTTTTACCAGGTTTCTGAGATGCATACCGCTCCTCCAATCTGCTTAAGAGTTAAGAGGATTGCTCAGTAGCTGGAACCTCTACAGCTTTTATTGTTTTGTAAAATGGCAGTACTATAGCTGGCCAGGGAGGATACTAAAGAAAGGAAGGTACAATTGCAGTTCATTTACTAGAAGAGGCTAGTAACTAGATGTTCTTCTAGTCTAGGAGACAAGCAGCTAGGCTCCCAGCAAAGAATCCAGAGCCCAGTCACCAAAAGCTAAGGATAGTAACTTTGTTTGCTAGCATGTATTGATCTTAATTGGCCCCAAACACCTGCTACTTATTACAATGTACAAAACATAGCCTGGTTAAATTATTCTGCATCCTAAGGCTAAATGACTGTCTCCCTTGCAAGTAAGTCTGGATTAATTTGAACTGTCCTTGTTGCTATCTGCTTTATTTGCTTAGGGGCATATTTGTGTAAAAAAAAAAAAAAAAAAAACCCACCACACACCACAACAAACCGAGTAGTTAACATCCAAGAGAGACAAGTGCCACCAAGAGCATGTTGTCTTTCTGCTTCCCAAGGCTATTTTGAAATGTTTCCAGAATGAACATTGTGGGTGGGATTTTCAAGAGCACTCAGCTCTGGCCTAACTCTGCTCCCATCAATGTCAACTGTAAGATTCACTGACTTGGATGAGAACAGAGATGGTCAACCTAGAAAATCCATATGTCTGACTCTACTTTGCCGGAGGGGAGAAATCACCTCTTTTCTCATCCATAGAAAGGCTCCACTTTCTACAAAATAAACAGTAAGGGAAAATTCCACTCCAATTTTTGCTGTCCAGTCTTGTGCTAGGAATCAGATGGTTTGGTAGAAGTGACTTTAATATGCTCAAATTGCCCTTCTAATCCTAATAATCAGTAAAGAGGTTGGCAGAAAAACCTACTAACAGTCTTTCTAACTGGTGCAACTCACTCCCTGCCTCCAGGGAAAGCTACCAGGATTTTATAACTTGCAGGGGATGGAGGGGCAGAAAATAAAACTCCAGCATTTGAGGTAGACCAAAGAATTCTGAAGAGGAAAAAATGGGTTACCAAAGCACGTTGAATAGGAACTCTGTCTACCTCAGAGCATAGCAGACACTGTGGACTAGAAGGGGGCATGTTGTTTCACACCTGTATTTAACAAGAGAGCAAAAGACAGTCACTGTTAAGCATCCCACTACTATAGTTTGTTCAAGCAATTGAAGAAATTCACAGTACAAATAAAACTGTAGTGTTGTATCTAGTAACCCCCCTTAGTTTCTTTTATTTACTTTTGTCACAAAAGTAGCAGGTAGGGTGAAGTATTTGACTTAGAGCGCGATTGGTGTAGACTTCTAGAGGTTGCTGGGAAATCTTTAAAAAAAAGAGATCTATATAGGTGTGTTTAAGACCACCTGGTTATCCCATAAGAATTAGAATACCCTGACTGACTAACTTAGCAACATGCCATGGTTAGCAAGATTCACTGACATTCACATTGAAACAGATTTTAAATTCCAAAATATATATGAAATAAATATATATAGTGTCACTTTTATTTTGGTTATTTGTCAGCAGCAGGGTGCTGTAAGAAACCGGTCTCTTGGAACTGGAGGGTTGCATTATGTTCTACCTTTTGAGTAAGTTTACAAGGAAGCTGCTGTTGTGCAGTACATCGCTCAGGTTCATACTTCTGTATTTCTGGATAGCAGCTCAAATCCAAGCAACCACAGGAGATTATGGAAAATTATTAGCATTGCAGGAAGTGTTAGATTAGTGTTAAAGCCACAACTGTCATACATGTACCATGTCTCCAAGACCAAAATTCACATGGGTGCAGTATGTGTTTGTGGATGCTGATAAAGGGTTGCAAGCTTGAACTTTTCTACTTCTAGCTTGGTT